ACACACACACACACACACACACACACACACACACACACACACACACATACAGTTCAGTGACTTGGACAGATTAAATCAATTTCAACATGTCTAAGTCACAATGAATCACTACATCAGTCTGGGCATGTAGGAATTGAGAAACTCATTCCATTGCCACCACTCTTCCAGTGAATGATTAATGTGACTGATATGATTTGGAGGTTGTTGTCACTTTCTTGGGCCAATTTCCCTGCAGCTGCCTCACCACTACCACCATACTTAGTGTATTTGTGTTACGGAGTTCAGTTCAGAGGTCCTGCTTGGGTGTGGAAGCCTTTTTACTAGACGTAGATTTGGAAACTTTAACTTTAACGCTTAAAAAGTCAATTTGCTTTTACTATCAATGATTTACATAATCGTAGCCAGCTAGCTAAAATTGACTGCTTCTTTGAATCGTGTATGTCTGAGAGGATCGAGCAGCAGGGAGTCTCGGGATCAACCCTCTAAATTCACCTCATAGCCACACACACACATAAGTCCTGGGAGCTGTACTCAGTTAAGCTTCCTACTTATCATGATTAGCTGCGACAGGCTGTTGCGACCGCTAGGCCTCCTAACGTGAGCGTTTTTTGTGTAAGCACTAGATGGACGGTGATATACAGTGAGTTTTGATGGCTAAAACTGATAGGAAAGAGAAACCTTTTAATATACACTACGTCCTCTTTTATTCATCAACAGTGCTTTGCTGGTGGCACTGACACACACTATTCATGCTTTGCAGATACATTCAAAATCCGTCATGGTCCCATCACAAGCATCTGTCCTATTGATGCTGCCATCACTAAGTGCTGTATATTGATTAATAAAAAAAAAGGAAATCCATTGTATGAAAGTAGAACAGAATAATGTACCAGTGTGCTATATACAGAATTAATCCATAGTGATGCAACAATATAAGGCTTCTTTCTACGGATGACAACCTTTTAAGGAATGTTTCAACATTTTGATGGATAGTATTTCCTCAAATAGAAACAGGCATTAAGTAACATGTTCGGAAAAATAACAAGGCTAAACTTCTGGTGCCTGTCATATAATGTGCATGGCAGCTAAGCTTAACTTTTCTACCCAAGGATATGCAGGAGGCTAAACTGTGCAATAGCAGCTCGCACATTCTTGACCTGATGCAGCAAAATTATTGTCAAAACCTAAGAGCAGCCAAGCATGGAAATAATATCTGTCTAAACAATAAAAGATTTTTGAGAAACTGCAGCTACAACTTAAATTATCTCAGGAACTGATCCTAGCAGGTTAATATTCTAACCACTGGTCACACAATTGCTTAACAAGACCAGCAACCTCTATGTTTATTGGTTGAGTTGATTAGGTGTAGGCATGAAGATTGATGTTTGGTTAGAGTATAATATCAGGGTCGGCTAATCAGCAGGTATGTCGAGTTGGAAAAATAATATTTATCTTCTCACTATAACCAGCTGGCAGTAACCTGACATTATTTAAAGCATCTAATGTTTCACTACAAATCTCTGTCTAATTGCCATATACTGTATTTATAGATGGAGGATGTGTCTCCACTCCCTTTCACTTTCCAGAACCAAAGCCAAAATCTCCTAGATACGAACGCTGCCATCTTGCCATCGAAGCAGTGGCGATTGGAGGATAAAGCAGAGGTATAGAGGAGCTGTCAATCGTAACATTGCAGCCTGTTTTTATATCAAATGATCAATTCAAACCAAACTTGGTGAAGAAGTTAAGCTTGAACGTACAGTTCAAATTCAAATTTCAAATTCACAGTGTGATAAGAACTAACCAAAACGACAAAAACATCTTTGAGAAAAATGTATTTGACATCTTTTTAATATGTCCTGTCATCTCACAAGGAGGATTTGGGGTTATGGCCTGTACTTCAGCCAGCCACTAGGGGGTGATCAAGACACTTTGGCTTCCCTTTTGGGGGGCAGTCATCTTGTCCATCTTTGTATATCTTTTTATACCAAGTGTTGAGGCAGACCAGCCTGAAGTTGGGGTACAGTCGTCTTATATGACTCTCAAAGGTACACAACTCAAGGGGTTGTTATAATACAACTGTTTCAGCATAGAGATAACACCTTGTCATTTGTCAGTTTATAAAATAATTCATTTTTAACACAACTAAACAGTGGACAGAGAAAAGCAGGAAGAGTAGAACAGTGTGGAGGATAAGGTCATGGGGGGCAGTCGCTTGTTCCCACTTGCCTCCTCCCTCATTCCTCCCTCTTTATCTTCCCCCTCCAGCCCTCCCTCGGCAGTATTACCAGCCGTGGTTACTCGGAGGAGAGGAGTGAGGCATGCAGCAGCCTTTCACTCATTTCGTCAATTGTTTTCCCTCTAGCTGACTACACGGCTGTCCGAGGACTTGTAATATACTAGCAAAGCCAGGATTAGACAGGGGAAAAAGTCCTTTTCTTGTTTTTGAAGACACGTCTGATCCTGATTCATTTCAGAAAGAGATTCCTGTTGTTCTGAATTCTCAACCTGCTGTATTACAACGTGGACTGCTTGTTGGAATTGGCTGTCCTGCATCAGCTTCTGACCTCTGGAGAAATGTCTGAAGTTTGACTTTAGTGAAGCTCCAAAGGGGGAGGAACCTCACAGGATGGTTTGACTTGAAGAGAGTCATCTACGCTTGTGTCCTTCATCTTCTCTGCTGCAAAGAGGGAGAAGTCATTCGTTTTCAGGAAGGAAAAGGAGTGGAAATAAACCACCAGGTGTTGGATTTGAGGGTTTCATTTTCCACAGTCCAGGGAAAAAACTTTTTTTGCAAAGAGTGAGGACTTCTCCTATTTTGGGGGAAAGAATTTTCAAGCTTTCGCTCTACTTCAGTGTTGCAACATGGCTGGGATGTATGGGTGCTTCAGGGGCAGGAAGTAAGTTTCAATCATTAAAAAAATTGTTTTGACATCACACCTGACAACATAATATTGCTCATTCATATTGCTTCACCGACATGCCCAGTCTTATCATGAACACTGTTTCCAAATCCTTGTCAGGGGACAAGGGTGTTATTAGGCTCTTTAAAGAGATTTCTCATTTTCAGCACATAACAAAAACCACTGACTAAAAGACAACGCAGGATTTATATTTTGTTAATGGCGAAACACTCTAATACTTGAACTCCACATTCACAGATGGCCATATTGAGTTGAGCAAATAAATAAACCCGTCTTAGAGTGCACTGATTCTGATTTGCCTGTGGGGTTATTTCCCAGAGTTGTAACTTCCCAGAGTTACACACTGTTTTGTTGCAGCACTCTAACAAAACTTTTGTTTGTCTTTGTTTATTGAGACAATTGATGACTTGTAGTTGGCAGTGAGCTGTATGACTCAGAGCTGACTGACTGAACACTCTGATTCAACTAAAGTTGGATCCTGACACAGAATCAAGTGGATCAAATCATGTTGGTTTTCAATTGATAATTGATATCTACAGCTATGAGATTTTCTTTTCATTTAAATCTGACATGTTCTGCTCCTGCTGATAGAACTCATCACTGCTTTAAATATAGGACTCTGGGCTTGGCAGTGTGATGGGGCCACAGAGGGTTCGTATAATGAGGGCCTTTAGCTTTTTGACTTCAGTAAAGAATCTTTTTTTGTACCAAAGCTTAACAGATGTGATGGTGGATACACTGACACCCACATCCACTTTCTTTGTCTTTCAGTATCATGACATGGCAACAATAAGTCTTTATGGCCACTCAGCAGAGTTGACCTAGACAAACATTTTGTTTGTGTGTGTGTGACACAGAGAAAGAAAGTGAATTAGAAGGAGAGGGGATGAGTTGCAAGACAGCTGCACACAGATTCCACTAAAGAACCACAACTGTGTTAGCCTGGAATTTACTGAAACCACAAATAACTCACCACAAACTGGGAATATGCAGAAATTGTTGATATAAAATAGTTGACCCCGACAAACACACAAACACACATAGTGTCTTCAAATTCAAACCATAAGACAACGTGGTTTCTGGCAATCCAAAATACATTTCTAAATTATATTCTTGTAACTTTTTGTCTTGCTTTGTTTATATCAGCTACATGTTAAAAACTGACAAATGAGCAGCCAACAACAAATGTAACTTATTTATTTTCAGTGTTGTCACAACTTATTAACTTACAACTATCGGAAAAAGTCGTGGCTCAACACTTGAGCATGGTATAAAAAAGAGCTCCTTATAAACAACTCTCTATCAGGTAAAAAGTTTAAGCGTGTTAAAATGGACCTTTTAGTATAAACCCTCAACTTCTTTGAGACCATAGCTGTTAAACCAGGTACAGCAGGCCTGTTGGATTTCACAACTTTATAAGCAACAATACAGCAAAAAAAAAGTGTTTAATGGGTGGTGTCTTACGTTCAGCCTTAACAAAACTAAAAACGCAGTTATGTTACAAGGAAAACAATCTGCAGTTTTAAATATATTAACATTAAAATATTCATTTTATGTTTAGGTAGGACCTAATTATGTTAACGCTCATTTATTGCTTCTTCAGTAACAATCTTAAATTAGGTTGTTTTGTTTTTTTAAGAGAAATGTTTGGCAACATTCAGATATTAGCACGCTGTAATAAGACAAGACGGCTGTGGAACTGATAAGTGAGTAAACAACACCCTGGTCAGAATTTATCTCAGTTCAGTCAGCTTGGCTGTGACAAAGACTATGCATACTGTCTCTGCCTGTAGTTTGTGAGATAACTAGGATACTTCAACTTGTAATTATGTGGGACTCTGATATTCCTCCACATGTGTCATACTTGTCATCTGTCTTAAATTGAGTTCATTATTGTCTTAAAAAAGTTTTGAATTTCACTTTTTGAAACCTGCAGAAACCCTGTTCTAGGTGAAATTGAGACGTATTCAAGAAGTTATGAATTCAGAATGGTACAACTTTAGACTGCATGTGTCTTGCATGAGAAAGAAGCTGGACTGGCATAACAACATGAAGAAGGTGCAGGGTTGATGGCTTAATTACCCACAACACAATTGGTTTTGCTGGAACATGTCAATTCACAGAGAGCAGAGCAGACGTAGTTTTCGCAATAGTGGGGCAGGTTCGACCCCATGTGCATGGTGGTTGCAATAAGGCCAAAGACAGGCGTGCGTTCTCTCTCTCTCACCAGGGCCCATCTTTCCCAATGCTTCCTTGATCCGTATGTAACCAAAGAGGGATGAGTTTGCTCAGCAGGAATGGTGATGCAGCTGTAAATGAATGTAGACTGTACAGAGTGACTGATGAGCATGTTTGGTCAGTTTCTGTCTGAGTCCATGTAAGGCCTGTTGCTAAGAGCGCAGCCCCATCTCACACAGGAGGGGACTGAAGATGGGGGAGAGATTGCAGCAGAAGAGAGAGAGCTGGAAGATGAGAGAACCCCCCCCCCCCTACCCAAAATAAGCGTTTTTCAAATTGCAACCCACCCATAGGGATAAAAGGCTTTTTCAAGCCATTTGGAGTATGGCATTGTTTTCAACAGTTTTTAATTTGAAGCTAACATGGGAACTGTAGTTCAGTGCAACTTTATTAAGTAATAAATAACAAATGGGCCAAGGATCAGAGTTAGGATTTTAAGTGGGTAGACTGGTAAGATATAGTTACACACACACCTTAAGTTAACCCATTTGTTAAAATAAACACTATGCAACACTCTATGTTTATTGATCCACCATGTCCAGTGATTTGGTTAAAAGGTTTTTTGTAAGCTTGTGATTTTCCATGAAACTACTCAACCTCTGACTACTTTACCCTCATTGTGTTCCAACATGCGTAGACCTTGTTTCCAGCCAATGAATAACCATTGTTTTAAATAGTTCCTGTTGGATTACTACACTACTAGTCCAGATTAATACAGTAAGACATGCTGGACTAAGAAGCTAAGATTTATTTTCTTACTTTTCTCGGAATTTCTTTTCAACAGAAGGTCTTTGGTTTTGTTTCAAACTCTGTATCACTGTTGTTGCATGCAAACACTCACATAGACTTGGCACTCACTGGACTAAAACCAAACCACATTTTATAACTCTGGGATTTCCTCAGTTTACTTAACCAGGAGGAGATGTAACAAGTAATTTTGCTCACATTTTGTTTCTAAAACCAAGTGAGTCATATTTTTCAAGAAACTACGTTTCTCAGTCAAATACAAACCCAGATCATTGCAATACGTATTGGCTGTTACTACATCAGCTCTAATGCACTGGGATTTGAACATGCACAGATGTGCTGCATCATACATGGTCCAAAAATACAGTTTAAACTTAAATGTGTATACAGCACTTTCCAAACTGTTTAGCACTGGACTAGCCTTACCTGGCCTTGCTAATGTGACTCCTGAAATTCCAGTGAGGAATGCTATAATGCTGATGTAAACATTTTAGAAACATGGCATTAGTATGAAACTCCTGCTTCTGCTGTACAAGTTAATAGCAAAGCATTTTCCCATTCAGTACTGGACCCTTTAATAAATTCAACAAGTGCAGTACTGTCAATCTCTTAGATCCTTTTTTTTCATTTTAAGGCATGGGACTCTTAAGGAATTCATTGTATTGAATCATATCCTCCTTATTCACTGGTTCCTGCTGACCAGGCAGGCGTTGAATGGGTCAAGAAGGAAGTAGTTCAGTTCTACAGGCCATGTTCCCTGTTAGGTATATGTGGTTTGACGTGGGGTATAAACCGGCAGACAGAAAGAAAGGAGGGAATGTGAGACAATGACACAGGAGGTAAAGAATGGAGAATCATCAGTGGTGGAGGAAATAAAGAATTGTTGTGTTCAGCTGCGATATCTGGCCACATTCTTTATATACTTCTCATATCCTTTTATGGCCCTTGGAGATGGAATAGACAATAACAAAACCTCATGTAAAAGCTTTTTAACATGTGGGAAGAGAGTAATGGTAGAGTGAAAGATGTTTATCCTGGGAAGATGATACCTTTTTTTACGTGCTGTTCTCCCATACTTTTTAACAGCCGGAATTTTTTTATTCAGCTTTTTATTTCGCTCTGCTTTGTGGTCCTTCAGCAGGCTCTAGTGAATGCCCTGTTCCCAGATCAGCACAACAACGAGAAGCAGTGCATGTATCAGGATGATCATTTTAATGATTAATAGCATGCTCGCAGTACAGAAAAATTTATGATAATTTAGCTTGAACCTAAAATATCATAATTCTCTATAACATATCTGATTTATTCCAGCAGGTCAACTGAATATTATATCTTTATCACTTGTGAAAATTGGGTGCCAAAAATGGGTAAATCCACACCTCCTCAATTTACATTAGTTTCACAAGGCTATTTTATGTGGTGCACACACTTTGAAGTTGACATTCATGCTGGTTATGTCTGTATATACAACATCCCTGTCTACAGCTATATCTGTACAGAGTGGTTCAGCCCAATCCGCCTAGTTCATCATTTCAGCTGCCTGGAGAAATGCTTCTTTCTGAGTCATTTCTGCATCTTTCTCAGTCTCGCTGTGGAAATTGAAGGCTTGTGGTTTGTCATTGATCCGCTAACATCATATTACAGAGGCTGGTTCATCTGCAGTTCCTCCACTCAGTCTCTCATCTCAACCTACTTTGCAGGGACTCAAGTTCAGGACTTGTTTTTCTGTCTCAAATACAGTTTGGGGAATAGTTTGCACAGTTCTACGGCCAAGCACCTAAAAATGGGACTATTTTATGTCTCCCAAATAGACACCACAGTGTGTTGTGTTGATGGGGATCCATACTTGAAGTAAGAGACTAACAGAGTTGTGAAGTTACAAGTGCAGAGCCTATTTTAAATGGGCTGTTTGTCTTCTCTGTGGTGGTGCTGGTTGCACCTTCCTCTGTTAAACTGTAAAAGTAGGTAATTGTAGGTAAAAGTGCAGGTAATTGAGCCAAAGAAAGTAAAAACCCTGAGGCTGCACCACCACTGCTTTGAATTGCATTTCATTTAGCTTTTATCCAAAGCGACTTACAATAAGTGCATCAACCATGAGAGTACAAACCCAGAACAACAAGAATCAATAAGTACAATTTGCTTCAAAACAGCCAAACTGCAAAGTGCTACATTTAAGTGCCATATAAGTGCAACTACATTTTTATTGATTTTTTTATTTTTTTATCCAAGGTGTAGTCGGAGGAGATGTGTCTTAAGTCTGCAGTGGAAGATGTGTAGGCTTTCTGCTGTCCTGGTGTCAACGGGGAGCTCATTCCACCATTTAGGAGCCAGGACAGCAAACAGTCATGTTTGTTGAGTGGTTAGTGAGGGAGCAGCAAGCCGACTGGCAGATGCAGAGTGGAGTGGACGGGCTGGGATGTAAGGTTTGACCATGTCCTGGATGTAGACTGGACCCGATCTGTTCACAGCACGGTACGCAAGTACTAGTGTTTTGAAATAACCAATGAAGGAAGCGGACTAGTGTGAGTGAATTTAGGTAAGTTGAAGATAAACAAAAGACTGGATGAGCTGCAGCAGTCCGATAGCACTAGCGGGTAGACCGGCCAGGAGGGAGTTGTAGTAGTCTGGGCATGAGAGGACCAGACCCTGGACCAGAACCGGTGTCGCCTTCTGAGTGAGAAGGGGACGTATTCTCCTGATGTTGTGCAGCATGTATCTACACGAGTGGGTTGTTGCTGTAATGTTGGCAATAAGGGAGAGTTGACTGTCCAGTGTCACACCAAGGTTTCTAGCAGTCTTGGTGGGGTGACCACGGAGTTGTCAAAGGTAATAGTCAGGTCATATGTGGGAGAGCCTTTCCCTGGAAGGAAAAATAGTTTGGTCTTGTCAAGGTAAATTTTCAGGTGGTGTGCGGACATCCACTGAGAGATGTCAGTCAGACAGGCAGAAGTTCGTCCTGCGACCTGCGTTTCAGATTGGGGAAAAGGGGAAGAGGATTAGTCGGGTGTCATCTGTGTAGCTGTGGTAGGAAAAGCCATGTAAGTGCTGCACAAAGAGCTGCTCACCTGTTGTTCAAAGTGTGGTGAAGCTCGAACCACCACCTGGAGAATTAGTTGTTGTTGCTGCTGTTGTCTTGAACATACTGTTGTTATGATGGACAAAGTCTCTAGCTTTGATGAGGTCCAGCCGCTTCGGCTACAGATCTCTGGTCACCTGTTCAATCAAATTTATTAATATTGAAAGTATTTTTTGTACAAATTGCACCAAAGTTGACACCTTTCACTTCCTCGGGTCCTTTAAAAAACGAAGTATGATGCCGATAATATGAATGAACGATGTGTGAGCGATGTGTGAGCCACATACAGACAGATTTCTGGAATTAGAAGATGCATAACAGTTATATATGTTCTATGTATTCACCAACCTTTTTGTGTCTTGTTTTTAAAATGAAAAGAAAAATACTTTCAGCAGAAAAACACAGCAAACCCTCTCAAACTCTGTGATAGTCTGTGAATGAGCAGCTCTACTCGCGGTGATGGAATGTACGACAGAAAACAGAATTTCATTGATAAACAGCGGCAGCTCGTTGTGCTTTAACAGCTTTCACATGACTCGAGGTTCAGCTCTGCTTTCTCTGTGTACAACCACACAGCTAAGCAGTTTATTCTGTTTGAGCCAAATGGGAAATCATCACTGTAATTTCATCATGTTATCCAGGGGGAGAGGGCATTATTAGATTTATCGAACTTCAATCTGCAGCCACAGGCGTCGGAATTTATACAAGTTTCACTCAACAATTGCAAAATATTTCTCTTAGAAACTTCCATACATGGTGCATTAGTCCTTTGCTAAGCTCTCAGCTTCTGTCCCTGCTTCTGATTCATTGTAAGTCGCTGTGCTCACTAATTGTTGTAGTAATGTAATCAGGTCTATATTAGCCCACTTAGTTAGTTAGTGCTGGTGGTACAGAGGGATTAGAGCTGGAGTGGATTTGTGTCGTAAACGCTATAAATCCAGTACGAGGCCTACTATTGAATTTCGTTTACTAGATGTCATCATTTTAGATAGACAAGTAGATACAGTCAGTACACTGAGAAATTATTTCAATACAAAATAAATGGACAGTGAGCAAATCATGTCAGATTCAGATATGATTTCCACTTCTTCCAGTCTTATCACATTTTTAGTGGCATGTCTCAAGCAATCTTTCCGTTATATAAATTTCCTGAACTATTTAGATTGGTGGAGACTCTTTACTCAGCCATTTCCTGGTTATTGCTTTCTTACTTGCTGGTTGTAGTATTTGTTGTATATATCTATGGAATTTTTTTCTAGCCTAGTTGGCACATTTCCCAGGTTTATAACACCAACATTAAATTCAACATCTTTGTCAGCTGCAGTCAGACACCATGTCAGACATCTGCATGTCGGTGTTGCTAAGAGCCAGTTAGTCAGCATCATAAGCCTGTGGTACGATGAGTCTGGCACCACTACCTCCACTGAGGGATTAAGGCTGGACTAGATTGGATTTGCTTTACGTCAGGACAGGATCCTTGTGGACATGTGTGTTCATGAGTCTTCATCATTCGCTCCCTTGTTTGTCTGGATTTCTCTTTAATTTGCATTTATAGTTTCCTCCCCTGATAACAGCTCTCTTCCTAGACACTGGTTGTTTTCACTGTTTATACCTGGACTCTGTTCAGTCATGATGCATCTGTGTGGTTGACATTTGGACTGTGTTCTGACCACATCAGTTGGACGAGACTTCATTTACAGCAGATGGCATGGCACTGAGGTGCGCGCGTGCGTGTGCGTGTGTGTGTGGGTGTCTTTGTGTGTGTGTGTCTTTGTGTGTGTGAGTATGTTAATGAGGTTATTTCAAATGTCTAATAAAGGCAGGCCTCCTACTGGTTTGAATACCTCTATGTGTTAATCAGTTCTTATGTAATGAGCCTGATACACGCACACATTTAAACACTCACACAAACATTCCCATACGCACACACACGCCAACTCATTGGCTTCCAAATAAAGCTAATGATGTGCCTGAGAGTGTTTACACTGGGCTGCGATGTTGCAGAAGGATTAGCATCTGAAATAAAGATAAAGTCAATAAACAGCTGCCAGAAAACTGTCTGGGAACAATGCAGGATGAAAAATGTTCATAATTAAAAAGTGTTCTGAAAGAAAACAATGCTCCCTGAAGCCAGGCAGAAAATGAAAACAAGTAAAGCTCTGAGATGACTGTTGTGGTTTTGCATTTCGTAGAATAACAAGTTCAGTTCATGAAGTGATGTAACCTGCTCTTATATACGAGGATATAAAGTAAAGTGGGAGCTGCAGCTTGTTAAATGCCACACTTTGTCTGTCGAATAGAGTTTTGAGAAACTGCTCTTCATACGATTATAATGTTCTTCACACCCTCTTTAACATGTCAGATGTTACTATGTCATGTTACGTTCAGCTCGTGCAATATATTTGTTTAACGCAGCAAAACAAATATGTTGTCTCTTGGAATGGTTCTGATATTGTCCCTCTCATTTTTATAAGGTGGACAGAATATTCGGCTTTCTCAGAGAAATTACATTTCAAATAACTGCTTTCATTTGTTGATTTAAAACACTTGGTTGTGCTGATGACAAAGTCTGAAGTTATAAAGCTACCACAAGCTGCCATTATAAAAGCTATAAAGCTCTTCAAGCCTTATTTTCTTCTCTAATTCACAAACTTCTCTCAACCCATCTGTTTGCTTATTTGCACTAACATGTGTAAGTAGGAAAAAATCTTCCTATACTTTCTTTGGTTGAAACCCTCAGCACAGCTCTACGCCTGTGTGTTTACTCTGAGTCTGTTTTGCCTTTTTTCTCTCTCCTGCTAATATTCTTCTGTTTATCTAACTGAGTCTTCTTTCTTTTCATGCTGCTCTTTCCCACAACCTCTCTCTCTGACCTCCTCCCTCCTTCTGTCTTGTGTTTGTCCCTGTTCTCTGTTTTCTCACTGTCTTCTCTCTCACTCCTCTCTTATAGATGTGTCCCTGACTCATCCTCTATATTTCTCTATACTTTTCTTGTCCTCCTCTCTTGCTGATCTCTCCTCTCCCTCTTTTTTTCTCCTTACCCCATCATCCCTCCATCCTTCTCATAGATGAAGCGGAGGATGTCACCATGGGGAGCCGGCCATGGGCGCAGGTCAGTCATGTTGACCCCTGACCCTCTGATCTTGAACCTGACACTTGCTTAGAAAAGTAAAACACACATTAATCTTTGACCTTCTCCCTCTTTTGTAGAAACTCATCTGTGTGTTGCCTTAAAGTGAGACACACTCTCCTTTAAATGAAATTTGAAACTGCACTTAGAAGGAAGAGTTTAACATTTTGGGAAAAACACTTATTTTCTATCTTGTTCCGAATTAGAATTTGAGAGGATTGATACCATGTTGATATCTGCATGTTAACTACAGGATACAACTTTAGAATAGTCTTTGTTAGCATATTTCTACATTTTGCTTTTTTACTGGCTTTCTTCTAGCTAACTAAGCTAACTGCCTATAGTCCTGCAGCATTGCAGACATACCTCTACAGCGTTTCCAGATGGGCAATGTTGAAGTATTGTACCAGAGGCTTAAAATTATTGTATTTTG